CTTGAACTCACAGTGATCCTCCTGCCTCAGCCTCCTGAGTGCTGGGATTATAAGCATATGCCACTACACCTGGTTTATTTCTCTATCCTATAGTAACCTCAAGAAGAGCTGGTCCTTCTAGAACTATGACCTATGGCTAAGCACTGCCCCACATTTCCCAGGATAGGCGGAGTCTCGAGCCCTGAAATGCTCAGGAATAATCCCAGCCCTGCCCTCGGGCTCTTGAGTGGCAGAAACTGGCACTGCGCCCAGCTGGCTGCCCCACCTTCCTGCCTCAGCCAGTGGCACGGTAGAGGGAGGCTGAAACTTGGCTTCCATTTCTGCAGGTCTAAATGTCATAACATTTGGCAGGACTGCAGGACCACAAGGAGGGGAAATCAAGGAGCCTGCGATAGCATCAAGGACGCATCTTGTTGAAATTTCATTCTGAAGTCTCAACAAGGGAAAGGCCATTATCATTAATTACTTGGATTGTTGTTTTATTGTTATTGGTGGAGAACCCGTTGGCGGCACATTTCTAGCCAGGATACAGGCAAGAGAACAAGAAAAGAAGGGAACCTGCTCCTCATGGCTTCCTGCGAGGAAAGTCAGGAACAGAGAGGCTCTGCAGAGGGTCAGGAACTCAAAGGCAGCAGGTGCTAGAGGTACCGGCTTGTTCCATCTAAGCCCTGCTGTGGGCAGTTTTTCTCCGCATTGGCAGGCAGTACTTTGCTACTACAGGGGAGGAAAGGCGCTCAGAGCAGATCAGTGATCTGCCCCAGCTGCATAGCTAGTAAGCGAGCCAGCCAGGACTGCAACTGGGGTCCCCACTGCCCATGTGCATGCCGGGACCGTGCGTCCACGCCTCTGACAGTGTCCGCTGAACAGGGGTGGTCCAAGAGTTGGGACTGGCTCACAGGTTAACTTCAGAAATGCAGAGTGAATTTAAAAAGGTCCATAGCAATTTGACAGAGTAATTTTATGTCTATCTAATCTGATAATAACTTTAAAAATTGGGCTTGCGTTTTGCATATCTTAGTTCTTTCTTCTAGACGTTCACTCCTGTTGCATTGTATAAAGTTTCGGTCCCTGTCCCTGTCCCACGGGCTGTGGAAGGAGCCCGGGCCGGCTGGACTGGCTCTTAGGTCAGTGCAGGTGCGTGCTTGGGGCTTCTGTGACTTTCTCTTACTTGAGAATCAATGGATGTCAAGCTCAGCGAACTTGGCCTGGGGCCCAGAAACACCCACCAGGCACAGAAAAACAGGCCCTCACCCCTTGTTAACCACGAAAGACTTGATTAGAGGTGCTGCCCGGGTTTCACTCTGGTCTTTCCAACCCTCATAATGAGCCATCAAATAAAAACGTCAGGCGAGAGTCTGGAATTTAGCACTGTCTTGGCCACCTTGAAAAAGAAGTGTTTTGTTTTGTTTATTTTTTATCCCTTCCCCTTAAAATTTTCATGGGTACAGAGGGACAGAACAAAACACAAGGACCTGAGCTCCCTGTGTAGCTGGACCTGATACAAGAGTGAAACTTCTTACCCTACCGGGCAGGCTGGGTTTGGTGGGGTACGGAGAATTAATGCATGTAAAACCCAGGGTAGACTTTTAGGTCCACGGTGCTCAGTGCCAAGTATCACCAGCCTCATTAAGGGCTTGAGTCTCAGAGAGAAAAATTACAATATCTACCTCCGCCTCGGTCTCCTCCCTCCTCCACAGCAAAGCCTCCAGTTTCAGAGGGAGGAACGGGCGATGCGACACGTGACAGAGCCTGTCCTGTTGTCTTTGAGAAGACTTCTGTCTTCACGAGTTGCAGGAGACAAACACTGGTGGGACAGAACTCATTCCCGACACGCGCACTAACACACATGCACACGTGTGTGTACGCACACTCTGAGCGTGGGGGCTGCTCTCCGCCACGCAGTGGAAACAAAGCAGGGGACAGAAGAGATCAAGTCTCTGTCCTCCCAATGCTAAAGCCGACATTGTACTCAGGAGGAGATGATAAAGTACCAAGGAGTAAAGACAGAAGTGTCAGGTGGTGGTCTGTGCACGGCGTCAAGTGGGATCCCTGGAGGGGAAGCGGAGGAGGGAGCGAGGGAGCTCATTTATAAAAGGGCTCAGGAAGGCCTGTCTGATAAAGTGCTGTTTGGGTAGAAGCTTGGAAGAGCGAAAGACTGATGTAGTTGGGCATTTGGGGAAGAATGTACCAGGCAGAGGGTGTGGTCAGTGCAAAGGCCCAGGGGTGGAAGAGCCCTTGGCTGGGAGGTCTGGGGCTGGAGGGCGGTCGGAAGATCTAGAAGGCAGCGTTCACAGGAGAGCAGGTGGCCAGTCCTTCCCCACATTCTCCCTCGGACCCCAGCCCTACCAGCCTGCCGGATGGACGCGAGGGCCACACTCACTCAGCTCCGAGATGCTGCCCACGCACGTGGCCAGAAGAGACTGCTCCAGGGTCCGCAGCTCCAGCTGGGCGTAGGCGTCCGCTCGCTCGTCGTGGCCCAGGGACCCGCCATTGTACGGGCTGAAGTACGCGGGGAGGGAGAGGACACCTGTGGGGCAGCAAGCGGAGAGGTCAGCGCGGGAAGCCGCGAAGCTCCACAGGCCACAGCCCCCGAGGCAGGCTCGGCCTATCCCCTCCCGGACCGAACAGGGCCAGGGTGAATCACCGTGAGCCCTGAGGGGACACAGAGGTTTCCACTGTGCCTGGGGAGTGGGGTCGCGTGAGCAGTGGCCGCTCGAGGCTGGGGACTGCAGCCAGGGGAAATCGTCTTTTCTTGGAGTTGCCCAAGGAGCTGGCCTGCACAGGCTTGAGGGCCGCTCACTGGGTATTCACAGCGTGCCTGAGTCACTGCGCTCAGCGACAGTGAGGCCTGGCTTTGCTACCACTCGCTCAGGGGTGGCTGAGTCAGAGGTGAGCGACCATCCTTCGGAGTCCTCTTGCATCTCTGTGCTGTCTCCTTTCTCCTTCAAGCCGAGAAGGGGCCAGCAGTCAGCCCTGGAACGGGACACCACTTTCTCCACTCCAAGAGGGGGACATGTCCCAGCCCAGGCCAAGTCCAATTAGTGTTTCTCATTAGCACGTCAGCAGCGCAGAGCAGAGCTGTCAGAATCCATCCCAGGGGGGACAGCCTGCAAATCCCTCCAGCGAGCTGTGCGGCGTCTCAGAAAGCTCCAGAAAAACAAAGCCAGACTGTTTAAAAGGACAGGGTGCTTCTTCAGAGCAGGTGGCCCCAGAGTTCTAGCTGCAGGGATTCTAGACCAGGGATTCCCAGCTTTTGGAAACTGTTCCTTCTCTGTCCAAACTTCCCAACGCTTTTTTTTTTTTTAAGAAAAAGAATAGCCAGGCATGGTGGTGCATGCCTGTAATCCCAGCACTCAGGAGGCTGAGGCAGGAGAATCACTATAAGTTTGAGGCCAGCCTGGGCTACAAAGTGAGCTCAAGGCCAGCCTACACTGCATAGCGAGACCCTGTCTCAAAAAGACCAAAAAAAAGCGCCTGCCTGGCAAGCGCAAGGTCGTGAGTTCGGTTCCCGGTACCGGAAAAAAAAAAAAAAAAAAAAAAAAAAAAAAAGACAGAAAGGAAAGGAAAAAAAAACCCACAGGATTTTAGCCAGTCACTTTTTGGGGAAAAAGAAATATAAAATTTCTTGAGTTCACTACAGAACCCTTGAGCTGTGGTCAAGTCTGGCTTCGGCTGCCCTTGTCACCCCTGTGATGGGACAAGGACAGTAGTACTATAGGCAGGGAGTGGCAGAGCAGTTGGGACAGGGCCCTCAAGGCGGACAGCTGGGGTTTGTGACCCTAGGACTGTCACTTGCCCAGCAGTGTGACCTCGGGCAGGTTACTCCGCCTTCTGCATCAGTCCGTCATCGGTTAACTGGAAAAAGGCCCAGGTCACAGGGTCACCACGAGGACTGCTGGGTTCCCAGATGCCACCACTCACACCAGCGTGGCGCTCAGAGCAACCCTCCGTCATGGGCTGTTGTTATTATTTTTAACTTGTGCGGGCAACACAGGCTTTATTTACATGATTGCATTTATTCTTTCCACTACCCTCAGAGACGGGCACCGCCAGCTCCGTTTTTGTGTGGAGGGGCTGACGGAGAGGGTGCGAGGAACCTGCTCAGACGAGGGGCAGGGCGAAGGTTCAAGTCCGGACCGTGCTGGATCAAGAACCTCAACACTTAACTCGCCATGAGCCCACAGTCCAAGCTCACCCACGGCTGCCGGGGTTCAGTGGCTCAGGCGTGAAACTGTACAACAGCGTGGTGACGGCCCCTTTCCCCATGGAGGCCCCTGCTGAGCCTTGTGTGTTTCTGTTTCTTGGGCAAAGAGGCCCGAGGGTCCCCGCAGCATCCTCCTGCCTGCCCCTGTAGCCCTCCCGTCACCCCTCCCGGGTGGCAGCGACCCTACCATCCCGGCAGGATCACAGCCAGCAGCGCTGACTCTACAAAGCTTTGTTTGCCTGAGGAGAGGTGGGAAGCATGTGAGCAGCTCTCCCCCAACCCCTCCCCAGGCCCTGTTCCCTAGAGCAGAGACTTTCCCTGACAGCAGAGTAACCAAGTGCATTAGGAAGAGCTGGCTCTGAGCTCTGGAGGACGTCAAAAGAAAGAGAAGGCCACCCCAACACACACGGCAACCCAAAGCGGCCGCCGAGTCCTGGCCCAGCCCGGCTCCTCCTTCTTCCCTTATTCATCGACAGAAACAACACTGGAGACATGTGGATCAAATTTGCAGCGCTTAGGGCAAAGGAATAGGAAATTCAGCTGATTTGTCAAAGGATTCCCAGAGAGAAACATAATGTCGATAGATCCAGTAACAGGAGTTGGCAGCCCTGTTAATAACTGTTCCCTTTTTCCCAGGGGCTTTTACTTAATACTACGGCAAAAGTAATTTTGAAATTATTATTAATAGTAGTAACTGATAACAATATAGCTTTTGCATAGTACCTTTTACTTTTTTTTTTTTTGGTCTTTTTGAGACAGAGTTTCACTATACAGTTTAGGCTGGCCTTGAACTTGTGGAGATTCTCCTGCCTCAGGCCCCCGAGGGTTAGGATTACAGGCGTGCACCATCATGCCCAGCAGTACCTTTTACTTTTTAGAGACTTTTTCATCTAGTAATGAAGGGAGCAGGGCAGTCATAATTGCTAATAGCCACCACTGGCTTTTATTGAGGACTTTCTATGTGACAATAAATAACACGTGTTATCACAAAAAATCCCTCAGGACTTCAGGAGATACTGTTTGCACCCATCTTACAGAGGGGGGAAAACTGAGGGAAGACAAAGGTCCGTTATCTGCCTATCGTTAAAAGAAACCCACTGGGGCTGGAACTTTAATCTCTTAATTCTCGAGCTCCTGCAATGAAATGATACCCCGGCTCGGCCAATTTGTCCTTCCAACACCTAGGATGTCTGAGAGGAGAGGGGTTCTGTGTGGGCTTGAGGCTTGCAAGGAAGGAAGTCAAAGTAAGACCTGGAAGTAGGACTTTGTTTTTGATGAGGCTGCAGCCACCTCATGCTGAGGACTTTGAAGGGGTTCGCAGGAAACTACAAGTGTGAGGCTGTCTCACTCACCCCTTTGATCCTCCCAGGACGCAGCTCTAGAGCTTGTCTTCCAAATCTCTTAAGAAACCTCCCTTCACGGTGACACTACATTAGTCTCTGTCCCACCTGAGCCCATTCCTCGGTAGTTTCTTGGTGAACACGGAACACATTTTCTTTAAATTCTCTCAACATCTTGAGAGATTTTTTTTCTTTTTCTTTTTCTTGCTCATAAATTCCCCTATGGGCCCAGGACAAGGCCTTTCTGGAAAACACAACTAAAAGAAAAAGAAAGAGAGAAAGAAAGAAAGGGCATCTCTTTTCTTTCACTGTATAAAGTCCTTAGGAAAATGTGTTTATTTCAGTTGTGATGGAAGGCAAGCGTGTTGGGGTGTTTCCCTGTAGGCCCTTTCTCGCTGACAAGGACAGCCCCATCAATCCTGCTCAAGCTGTAGGCATCACAGAGGAAGCCCACATGCATCACTCCGATGGTCACAGTGAAATGAGTTGCTGAGTGGGAAGCAGTGTGCACGGTCGCGCTGTCCTCTGCCTCCCTGTGTGGCGAGACCAGCATTTCTGTTGGGACAAAGTTCCAAGGTTCCTGAGGGAACGCGAAGCCTCTACATTTCCCTGTCTGTACACACAGGCCTCATCTTCTCTGTTTGATTCTTTTCGTACTGGTTGCCCAACCCTTGAGTCTTGGATCTCACTGTCCAGTTTCCCAAAGCTACCTCCTCCTCTTCCTCTGAGGATAGCACACGCACATCCAGTTGCCCAGCAAGAGACGCATGAGTCATCCTTATCCACTCACTCCTCCTCCTTTACCACCAGCCAGTCACCAAGCCTTGCTGCTTCCCGCTCTCAAAAACGCTGCTGCGTCTCCTGCTCTGCTTACCCTCCTCTGACTTCGTACTCTTTCTCAACTTCTCTTTGTGCTTGTGAAGAAATCCAGATGCCTTTGCACAGATGAGAACTGAATAGATAATATCTTTCTTTCCTTCTCTGAAATTTAGAGAGGAAAAGAACTCTGCCAGCAAACAGGAAAGTTCCCAGCATCTCTCAGGATATCAACAGAGTTAGGAGGCCTAGGGCACCAGATCCTTGTGTTTTCTAGCTGTGTTCCCAGCGCTGGGCGCTGAGCTCTTGTTCTAGTCCCTGGGTTGCAGAATTCCAGGTGATTCTCCACTGGTGTCCAGAGAGGGCGCCACTGAGGTGGGTGGGAGCCCTGTACGCTCCCTATGGTACCCGCCAAGAATTTATCCCAGGTTCTGTTTGAAGAGGTGCAGTCTCTTCCAAGTGAGCTCCAAGCCGGAGCAGATGGGCTGCACTCAGGGTGACAAACCAGGCTTTCAGTACAAAGGCATCGAGGGCAATTTCATCTTTGTGTAAAACGTGGCTGTCAGCTCCCTGTCATCTCAAGCCCGGTCAGTGCTGGACCCTAACTCCCACAGACCTGTGTGTGCTGGAGCACAGAGGGGCCCCGGCGAGCCTTTCCCTGCCAATCATTCCACCATCTAACTTCTGGGGAACAACAGCGGGAACAAAGAGACCTTCTATTGCTACTTCCTATGGTCTACTTTCCTCCCAGTTATAGGCACACCTCTCCTCCCCCCACCCCCTACTCCCACAGCAAATGTCAAGATGTCCTTTCTGTGCAAAGCTGGGTAGGTTTGGAGTTCAGCTTTTGACAATTCATCAAAAAGCCATCAAGGCAGTGACGTAACTGTCCTCCCAACTCAACAACCCATTGATAGCACTAGACCTGTAAATGTTCTTTCTGAGGCCAATGATTCCGGTGGGTCCAGACACCTTGCAAGCCTGTGCGGGAGAGCCCCTTCCCAGCCTCCCCTCACCCCCGCCAGGCTTCCAGCAGATCTACAAAGCTACCCACTCAGCAGAGCCGTCTGCCAAGGCCACCGCCTGCCCCGCTGCTTTGACGTGCAAGCAGGATGCTGAGGATTACTCTTTTACAGCCCTTGTGAGGAAACACACAAGGCTGGGCCT